CCACTAACTGCTTCATACCTGAGATAGATACATTTGACTCAACAAATCCATATAAGTTTCATTAAAATTCACCAGACATACATAGGGACCTTCTCTTGTCAGCTCTTTTCCTCTTGGATGAGTTCCACATTACAACTGAAAAATATTTCTGTATATATGCATGTTCTAACCTCAAATTCTTTTTTATTTTTGTAAAATACTGATTGTAGAACTTTCGATGGGTTATGATTCTTGAAGTTATTTTTGTAAAATTTTATAGTAAAGTACCTGTTTCAAATTTAGAAATTTTAGTTTTACTCGAATTCGGTTTTGACATTTACTTCTAATTATAGTACATATCGGGGCGGCTATTTTCCTGTTATGTTTCTTTAAATTTTTGCAGATATGAAAATTTAAATTTATTTGAAATATAAATTATTTATATTTATTTAAGCCTAGTTTAAATCAATATAAATTCAATTTTAATTCATTTAATTAAATGTAAATCCATGTAAATTAGCTCATGAGATTTATATCTAATTCAATGAATCCAAATTGAATTTCATTTAGTCTACATTGAATTTATAATGATTTTAACTAGATTGAGATAGATTTGAAAAATTTATATAGATTCAAATAAGTAAATATAAAATAAATTTAACTTTTCAAAATTTACATTTAAAATAACTTTAAATTTCTCAGAATTTATTTTGTCATTCGTTAAATTTTGGTAAATGTAAAATGATTATCGTTAACTACAAGCAGCTGAGATATTAGAATACATATCAGTTTTGCTTAATATAAATAGAAAATTAAAAATTTAGTTCATACGTGGTTAGTCTAGTAGTAAGTTTAGTGCTTGGAAGTTGTAAGTATCTATGGTCGATTCTATCTCAAAGCAAAAAAATACTCAGAACACATCCCTAGGACTTTAGAGTGCGGTTCATCAACATATGAAATTATTGTACTTGAACAAAAATGCGCTAGAACTGAAATGAATTATAGGAGAATGGAAAAGGTATGAGAAGAAACACATTCAGAGACATGATAACTTTGAAAATCAGCTGGTTTTCTCTTCAAAACAATAGTGTGCTTTTATGGGAAAAAACGGGTTTGTTTGAAACGTGTTGTTTAAAACGCTTTTAGTGTTCTCCCGAAACGCACTTTACTAGTGAGGAACCGTTCTTTTTAATGGACGTCCTTAGCATATCAGAATGGGCTCTTGTTTACTAAATAGACGCTTGTTTAATTTTGAAATTACGTTCTTGCCATTTTCTTAATCTTTTTTCCATGGAACACCCACACCTTAAGTCTTTTTGATAAAGAGAAAGCTTTCTCTTTTGCATATTCTTGTGACATGAGCTGTATGAAAAATACCGGAAAGCGCACTAAACAGCAGCAAACCACAAATTTTCAGGAAGTATGGCTGAATGTAAGACAAAATTCAAGAAGAGAAATTCTGGCTCTCCTCCTCCTCGCAACTGAGAAGCCTGTGAGCATAGATGAACGATCTTTTTTCCTTCCATCTTACGTTGTGAAAGCTTCCCAGGACGATGATTACGACGATCCTAAACGACCGTTTACGGTAGCGTAAACAGTCGTAAACGCTGAAATTACGACCGCAAACGGGCCGTGTTTCACCCGTTTTATACCGACCGTATTACGGTCGTAACATGCCGTGCCGTATACGGCAAAACACACCCACCATAAACGCTGAAACCTGTACCACAAACCGGTCGTCTTTCGACAGATACGGTCGGGAACGCCAACGTATACGGCCCTATTCCACCGTGAACTACCGTAATTCCCATCAAACATATGAAACCAAATAAATTCGCTGGCAGCAAGCGTTTTCTACCTAACTAAGTCAGTTAACTCACTGCATCAAGATACACAACGACAGACGATGAAGCATACCGAAAACACGCCTTTAAAGGTCCTTCAAACCATAAATTTATCAAGCGTCTTTAACGTCATTTTTTACCAAAGCCCTGATTTCCTCCTTGAAATCATCTCCAATATTGAAGCTACCAAACAAAAAAGGTGTTTAAATGCCTTTTACAATATCAATCCAAACAGTTGGATGCGCATTTTAACTTCTTTACAAAGTTAACGAGTAAAGGCCTTTCAACCTCATGAAAGGCATTTTTTTTACGAAAACACTAATTTCCTCACTGAAATCGTGTCAAACACTGCAGCTACCAACAAAAAGGCTTTCAAATGGCTTTTACTGTATCTATACAAACGGATGGATGCGAATTTTTCTTCCTTACAAAATTAACGACAAAACGCCCCTGACGGTTTTCAACGTGTTTCTGAACCTGGGAACGCTTCGACATCGCTTTTCTTAGAAAACGTTCATTACTG